GTCTACTATCTCGAATCTATAAAGAACTTAAAAAGAGGGAACGTGGGCTGGTTGGCTGGGCCCTGAGGCCCGTTGCCGGGTAACAGAGAGGAGCAGCCTCGGAGCACCGCCTCCTGCCCTCGGCCGAGTGGCGCCAGGGCCACAGCCGCTTTATATCAGGCCAGGCCAGGGCCGCCGGGCGCTCGGCAGCCGCCCGCAGGCCCGAGGGCAAGCTGAAGCGCCCGCCCACGCTGCCCGGCAGCCTGGGCAGGGTTTGCTTTTTTTGAGACAAGGTCTTGCTCTATAGCTCAGGCTGGTCTTGAACTCACTGTGTAGACTAGGCTGCCCTCCAACTCATGACAGTTCTCCTGCCTCAGCCTCCCAAGTGCTGGGATTACAGGTTCTGCCGGAGCCTTGCAGTTGGCCTCAATGTGAAATGAAAGTAGAAGATTCCATCTGCATATGCGTTGTTGTCAGGGTGCTGATACATTGGTCATGCCTGAAGAGGCATGTTCTATTCTAGACAGCTGAGTGCAGCACAGTAAATGCTCCTCCTCCTTGTGCAGCACCTTTGCCTCCTGCTGGAGTGAAGACCCCCCCACCAGACACCACCGGGGCCTCAGCTGTGGGAAATGCTCTGCCTGCCAAGGATGTCAGCAACCTAACTTCATGCACCCATCCGTGCCGACGCTGTGAATGCTTCGCCATCTGAGAGCTCCTCGCATCTTGTCCAGGGCCCGCATCTGCTTCTGACATGTCTCTGCTTCATGCTTTGGGCCCAGTGCAGACCTGGCTGGGGCAAGAGCTGGAGAAATGTGGCATCGATGCCATGATTTATACGCGCTATGTCCTCAGCCTTCTGCTGCATGACAGCTATGACTACGACCTGCAGGAACAGGAGAATTACATCTTCCTGGGCTGGGAGAAGGGAGCTTATAAGAAATGGGGAAAGAGTAAGAAGAAGTGTTCAAATCTGACTGTAGAGGAAATGAAAAAGCAAGCTGCTGTCCAGTGTCTCCGATCTGCTTCTGATGAAAGCTCTGGCATCGAGACCTAGGTGGAGGAGCTCTGCTGCAGACTGAAAGACCTGCAGAGTGAGCAAGAAGAGAAAATTCACAAAAAGTTGGAGGAGTCTCCATCTCCGGAGGTAGAATTATCCCCCACAGAGAAAGATCAAGTGGAGATGTACTATGAAGCATTTCCACCACTTTCTGAGAAACCAGTTTGCCTGCAAGAAACCATGACTGTGTGGAACAAGTCCAAGGCCTGTTCTTACTCCAGCTCCTCTTCATCATCCACAGCCACCCCAGTGAGCACAGACAAGTCCTCTCCCAAGGACTGCAACAGTGAAAGTGAAGTCATCAAGGAAAGAAGCCCCGAAGGGCCCACCACTGTGCACGAGAAAGCCCAGAGCAGAAGCAGACATAAGAAGGAGAACAAACTGAGCAACGGCACTGTGGAAGAAAAATCTGCCTTGTACAAAAAGCAGATCAGACACAAACTGGAAGGGAAGATGCGCCCTCCCTCCTGGTCTTCCGGCTCTAGTGAAGGAGGCTCGAGTTCAAGTGGTAATCAGGGAGAAATCAAAGCATCCATGAAGTACGTTAAAGTAAGACATAAGGTGCGGGACATTCAAAACAAGAAAGGGCGGAATGGGCAAAGCAGGCTGTCCCTGAAACACGGGGAGAAGGCAGAGAGAAGAGTGCATGTGGGCGGCAACAGAAGCAGCAGCAGCGGCGGGTCCATCAGGCAGCTGTGCAAGCGGGGTAGGCGACCAGTGAAGGAGGCAGGGAGAAGAGATCCTGGGAGCACTGGAGGGAAAGAGCTGTATACAGAGAGCAGAAACGACAAAGAATATAAAGAGGAGCCGTTGTGGTACACCGAACCGATTGCTGAGTATTTTGTTCCTTTGAGCAGGAAGAGTAAACTAGAGACCACATACTGAAACAGACAGGAATCAAGTGCTCTGACACCGGATGCAGTGGGAGACTTGTCTGAATCTGTGCGTGGCCTTTGTATCAGCAGCAGTAACACTCACAAGACATACCTCGCAGCAGGCGCTTTCATTGATGGCCATTTTGTAGAAATGCCTGCAGTTATAACTGAGGATGTTGACCTCACTGGGACCTCATTAGGTTCTCTGCCAGAGGACAACAAATACCTGGAAGATATTCATCTGTCAGAATTAACACACTTCTATGAAGTGGATATTGATCAATCCATGTTGGATCCTGGTGCCTCAGAAACAATGCAAGGAGAAAGTTGGATCTTGAATATGATTCGACAAAAAAGCGAAGAGAATACAAATTTTGAGGCAGAATGTTGCATAGTGTTAGACGGTATGGAGTTGCAAGGGAAACATGCAATATGGACAGATTGTACCAGCTCTGTGGGTGCTGAGGGCTTGTTCTTGCAAGACCTTGGCAATCTGGCTCAGTTTTGGGAGTGCTGTTCGTCAAGCTCTGGTGATCCCGATGGGGAGAGCTTTGGAGGAGACTCTCCAGTTAGACTCTCTCCGATCTTGGACAGCACAATGCTCAATTCACACTTACTTGCTGGCAATCAAGAGCTCTTCTCAGATATTAATGAAGGATCTGGTATAAACTCTTGTTTTTCAGTGTTTGAAGTGCAATGCAGTAATTCTGTTTTACCATTTTCTTTTGAAATGCTCAACTTGGGAAATGAAAATACAGATTCTAGTGCTAATATGCTTGGGAAAACACAATCTAGATTGCTAACATGGACCAAAAATAGTGCCTTTGAAGAAAATGAACACTGTTCTAATCTTTCAACGAAAACTTGTAGTCCATGGTCCCATTCAGAAGAAACACATTCTGACAATGAGACATTGAACATTCAGTTTGAAGAATCCACACAGTTTAATGCAGATGATATTAATTATGTAGTTCCTAGATTCTCATCAAATTATGTAGATGGAGAACTTCTAGATTTTTTGCAAGATGAAACTTGCCAGCAAAACAGTAAAACTTTAGGAGAAATTCCAACTTTAGTTTTCAAAAAAAGATCCAAACTAGAGTCTGTCTGTGGTATTCAGCTAGAACAAAAAACAGAAAACAAAAACTTTGAAACTGCACAAGTATGTAGTGAAAGCAGTCCACATGGAGATGGCTACAGCTCAGGGGTTATTAAAGACATTTGGACAAAGATGGCAGATAGAAATTCTGTGGCTACAGTAGAAATAGAAAGAATTGACGATGAGTTGTTTTCAATAGATGTAAATAACTACTGCTGCTGTTTAGATGCTGAAGCTAAAATGGAGACCCTTCAGGAGCCCAGCAGGGCAGTGCAGAGGTCTGAATATCACCTCTGGGAGGGACAGAAAGAAAACCTGGAGAAGAGAGCCTTTGTGTCCTGCGAGCTCTCCAAGGTGGGTGGTGGTGATTACACCACACCCTCTAAACCTTGGGCTGTGGCCCAAGATAAAGAGAATGCTTTCATTCTTGGGGGAGTCTATGGAGAACTCAAAACTTTCAGTAGTGATGCGGAATGGGCAGTTGTGTCACCAGGCCACACAAAAGGAAGCTTGCTGCAGTGTGCAGCTTCTGACATCGTGACCATAGCCAGAACAGACATCTTTATGACCCCAGGAAACAGCTTTGCTCCTGGTCACAGGCAGTTGTGGAAACCCTTCATGTCATTTGAACAGAATGATCAGCCGAAGAGCGGGGAAAATGGGTTAAATAAGGGATTTTCTTTTATCTTCCATGAAGACTTACTAGGAGCTTGTGGTAACTTTCAGGTTGAAGATCCTGGACTTGAATATTCATTCTCTTCCTTTGACCTAAGTAATCCATTTTCACAAGTTCTTCATGTAGAATGTTCATTTGAACCTGAAGGGATTGCATCTTTCAACCCACTTTTAAACCCAAATCAATCCTCTGCTCTGATTCAGACAGTGAAGTATTTCACCCTCGGATATGTGGCGTCAACAGGACACAGTACAGAGCCATCCAGGTCTCTCCCAGGACTCACTTCGGCCCAATCTCTGCATCAGAACTGTCCCCAGGAGGAGGGAGCGAGTCAGAGTTTGAGTCTGAGAAAGACGAAGCCAGTGTTTCTATTCCACCTCAAGCTGATGTATTTGAAGATCCACAGGCAGATCTCAAACCTCTGGAAGAAGACGCAGAGAAAGAAGGCCATTACTATGGAAAATCAGACCTTGAGTCTGGGAAATTCCTTCCCAGATTAATAAAGTCTGGAATGGAAAAGAGTGCTCAGACATCACTAGATTCCCAGGAGGAGTCGACTGGGCTTTTGCCGGTTGGAAAGCAAAATCAGTGTCTGGAATGTAGCATGAGTGAATCTCTGGAAATAGATATAGAAAGCTCAGAAGCAAATTGTAAAATAATGGCACAATGTGAGGAAGAAATTAATAATTTTTGCAGTTGCAAAGCAGGTTGTCAGTTCCCTGCTTATGAAGATAATTCAGTTTCTTCGGGACAGCTGGAAGAGATTGGGAAGAAAGAAAAAGAGGAAAGAAGCAAGACTCTGCACCAAACCACTACCTCATTGGATGCATGCGCTGAGCATCTGCTGTACCAGGTGCTGTCCTGGGTGCTTGGAATGAACAGCCCCACTTTTGTGAAGTTGCCCGCGCCCTCAGGGAGCCGACAGGAAGCACATGAAGTTACAGGCAGTGCTGTCCACTTTCCTGGATTGAACACTAATGTGCAAGAAATGCGTAGAAGTCAAGAAAAGCAGACCTAGTGGGAAAAAACCTTGTACTCTCCCCTTTTTCCTGCATCAGAATGTGAAGGATGTTATACAAATGCCAAGGGAGAGAATGGTATAGAAGAATATCCAGATGTTAAAGAAATACCCGGTAATGAAAAGCATCTGTTAGATTTTAATAGGGCTTCTTCTGTCTCTGAAGCACGGTGCACCGGAGAGGGTGGTCCTGGGGCCCAAGCAAATGGCCTCTGTAGGAAGATGTGCTCCAGCGCCAGCCCTGACCCCAGAGACTCAGGCTCCGACGGTGGTGGCGAGTGGGTGGACCCTCAAGAGGAGGAGCTCTTCTCCAGGACTCACCTCTGACCTCACACCTAGTGTGAGTGCTTTCTCAGTGCTGTGTGACGGGAAACCACCCCTTTGAGACCTATTCATCTAAAGCAACAACATAGGTTTCCTCTTGGAGTAACTGATTCCAATCCGTGATTCTTTCTTCTTGCTTATTTTAGCATTGAGGACCGCTGTCCTGTGGAGATCTCTTTCCCAGCTGTTCATTCTTGCTATTGAATAGACTAGATGTGCTGTCCGGTCCAGAATGGTGTGCATGTGCTCATCCTAGAGGTGTCACTGCTCTTGCCTCGCAGCCACAGGCCTCTCCTTCTCACTCGGTGACATCTCTGTCACCTGTCGTCAGCACTATGGTGCCAGCACTACTTCTGCTGTTTAGAGACTTTAGCTTTGGAACATTTAGCTGTGTTCTCTAAGCACTGGGAGATCATTCTCACCCTGCAGTGGATCGGTCCTTTCCGGGGAGGGAGGGAAGCATGGGTGACTTGTCCCCATCTTCGTTCAGAAGAATCTCATGAACATGGACATAGGAGTGCAAGGGTGTGCGTGCGTCTAGAGACTTTCAGAATACTGTGTTTTCTACCCTGGGATTTCCCCCTTAAGTATCGTGAGATACTCCGGTGTGTGTCTTTCTTGCTAACTGGAGGTGCCAAGGATTTGGGGCGTGGGGTGGGACACTTGCCTGAGTGGGTGCTGCAGTGCATCCACATCGAAATGCAGTCAGGGCTCCAGAGAGTCTGGAACATGGGGGAGGACCTTGGTTGTGGATTGTGGTTTTTCTGGCGACTGTTGAATCAGAGCCCCCAAAACTTGAAATCAAGAGCATTGGACATGCAATAAAGGCCCCTGTCACCCACAGAAACCTTCGGCTGCTGCAGCTGACTGCTCTCATGGTGAGGTGTAGTGTGGCTGCTCTCATCGTGTCTGAGAGGATATCCTGGGCGAGTTCTGTGTGCCGTGGTGGGTGGTAGAGCCCTTCTCCACGTGGCCCTGTGATTGCTGTCCTGTCAGCACCACATGTGACTTAGTCACCCAGGGAGTCAGTTTGTCTTTTGCATCCGTACCTGCTGATACCTCCTGGAGCTCTCCTGACACTGACACTGTGTGGCAGGGTCAAGCTGGGAGGGGCCATATCAGCAAAACCTGAACATGTTAAGTTGTTTCTTTTTTAACCAACTTATCCTTGTAGAAAACATCTAATCCTAGCAGTCGGTTCAGTGTGTGTAACCTCAGGAATGCGGGAAGCCTGGCGTCGTCTAGACAGCCTCACCACTAACTTGGGCAGGCAGTGAGCCCGATTGACTGCCTGGGAGCTGAACTGCCTGTAAAGTTTGGAGCATTTGGGTTTGTCGCCTTTTTCTTAACTGATAGCACAGGAAACACCACAGAGGCTGTGGGTCCCCAAGGTTCTGTGCCAGCCTTCTCTCCCTGAGCAACCCAGCACACCCGCCGGCCTCCATCCCCCACCTGCTAGGTTTCATTTTTACGCAGCACATCTTTGACACTTTACAGTGGTGTGTGTGTGCACGTGTGTGTGCGTGTGTGTGCGCACGCGCATGGGTAAGGTTTTATGTTGCTGTTATTTATTTACAGACATCAGATAAGTTGTTATGTATTTTTCTTTCTTCTGGAGCTTCCTAAAAACCGATTAGCATCTGCACTGAACTATTAATTTAATAGCAAAGGCAAAAGCGGAGTGGAAGTTGTGAATTCCTAAAATCACTGCAACGACAGTTACCCTAGAAGTCGTTGCCCACGTAGCAGAGACCAAATCAACAGGTATGAGACGCACCTGGCCTCACTGGGAAGGCTTCCGTGGGCAGGGTGCCCGCGTCCTGCAGCGGGGCTTGGAGAGCGCCTTCCACGGGGAGGGGCGGAGTGGGGACGGGCCAAGGGATGACGAATTCTGTATTGATTTGTTTTCATAATTAAATGGCTAAAGCTCAGTGACTTTTGGCAACAGTTGAAAGTGTGGTTTTTAGTTTTTGTGAGTGACTGATTACAAAATGCATTTTTTAAAAAGTTGTCAAACGCTGAAACGCACTGTGGTATGAAGCGCATTGCATATCCTTAGCACTGAAGTATCAGTTTCCATTCCTGGCCTGAGATTTTTTCCCGTGGATGTATTGTTCTGATTTCACTTACACCAGAATAACTGATTTTTTGTTTTCTTGTGGAGTTAACACCACATAAAAATTAAAAAAAAAAAAAAAAAGAACTTAAAAAGATCAGACCTCCCAAATTTAAAGACCCAATCCAAAAATGGGCATCGGAAATGAACAGACATTTCTCAGGCAAAGAAGTAGAAATAGCAAATAAATACATGAAAAAATGTTCAACATCACTGGTCATTCAAGAGATGCAAATGAAAACAATGCTGAGATTCCACTTCACTCCAGAAAGAATGGCTGCTATCATGAAATCAACCAATAACAAATGCTGGCGGGGCTGTGGGGAAAGAGGAACCCTGCTCCACTGCTGGCGGGAGTGTAGACTGATGCAACCACTGTGGAAATCAGTATGGAGATACCTCAAAGAACTATTTCTTCTTGATTCCAATCAGTCTTATGTTATTCTTCTTTGCATCATCTAGCAGCTGCTGGATTGATTTATCGTGATCCCTTACAATTTTGAAGCAATTTTTCTTTTCCTGGTCACTAATTGCAATCTTCTCTTCTATATCTGAAATTCTGTCCTCACATTGGCTCATTCTCCTGTGTAGACTTTCAATGGAGTTTTTGATCTCCTGGAAATCTGTTTGCATCTGTTTTATGGATTCCATTTGTTTCCTATGTTGGGATTCCATCATGTTCCTTAGCTCCTCTCTAGATTTATTAATCATGTCTTGTGCTACAAGGACAATCTCTGCTGTTATCTGAGAAATTATTTCTGATTTCAATCTTTCCAGATCCTCTTTTGTTGCCAGTTCAGAGAGTCCAGGTTGTTGAGTATCACAGTGTTACATCTCATTTCCCTTTGGAGTTGCTGTAGGTGATCTGGAAGTCTGGTTTTGAGACTTGTTTATGTGTCTTCTCTTTTTGACCCCAGGGAGGGGGCATACTGTTGGTGCCTGCATGGCTCACCTCCTCTGAGCTGGGAGTGGTGAGATGGTGGCTCAGAAGCCCCTTCCTCTGGGCCGGGAGCAGCGGGATGTATGGTGGCCCGGAGGCCCCTTCCTCTCAGCCAGGAGCGGTGGGACAGACCCCTTCATACTTTCTTTATGGTCTAAAATGTGGTCTGTTTTGAGAAGGTTCTGGAGCATTTTGAAAAGTGAGTTTATTCTATTGATGTTGAATGAAATACTCTATGTATTAGTTAAATCCATTTGATCTACAGTGTATTTCATTTCTGATGTTCATGGTTGATGTTTTTCTAGTTTCTCTATTTGCCATAGTGGCCTGCTGAAGTGTGCCACTGTGACTGTACCGGAGCCTGTCATTTTATGTCTCATAGTGCTGGATTTTGGTGTATACACTATATATTTATGATTGTTATCACTTCCTGTTGTGTTGTATCCTTTACTATTATGTAGCAGCTTTGTCTATTCTGACCAGTTTTAGTTTAATATCTATGTTGTTACATATTAGTGTAGTTAACTATGATCACTTTTGAGGGCCAACTCTTTGGAATTTTATTTCTATGCTTTCACTTTCAGTCTGTGAATATCTTTGTAGCTGAGCTGTATTTCTCTTTTTTTCCCCCATTAAGTTTATTGGTACATTTTCAGTATAAAATACAGTTACATTCATCATTGGGATCTTGTACCATTACATGAGTTATCTTGGTTTTTATTTTTTTTCCCCCTTCCTTTGCCCTCCCTTCACCCCCTCCACCCTTCCCTATTTGCAAAGACTGTGTTTCCATTTTTTTCCTTTTCTCATATTTTTTCTTTTCCCTTCTTTCCTTTCCCCTACCCCTCCCACTTTCCCTGCACCTTTAGACCTTTTCTTCCTGTTACACAATATCAATTATACATTTTTTAAATTACAATATCAAGATCTAGGAGACATTATACCACAGATTACAGAATTTTAAAGGATATAGAAAGCATATTTCAAAAATCTGTTTTGAAGTATGCTTTCTATATCCTTTTAAATTCTGTAAAATCTGAGCCGTATTTCTTGCAGGCAACATATAAATAGACTTGTGTTTGAATCCAGTTTTACAATCTGTCTTTTAGTTAAAGAGTTACAATTATTAACATTGAATATTATTACTAAAAGCTGTGTACAAGTTCTTGTCACTTTCTTGTTATTCTTGTGTTTGATTCCTTTCTATTATTTATCATCATTTCTTTCATTGAACTTTCTTTTACCCTTTTATATCTCAACTTTTGTCTTCTTGGTTTGTATTTAGGATTCCCCTAAGTATTTCCAGCAATGCTAACTTGGTAGACAAGAATTTGTCTAGTTCACATTTATTATGGAAGGTCTTTATTTTTTCTTTGACTTTGAAAGATTCTTTTCAGGATACTTTAATCTCTTAATAGTTTTTAATATTGTTTCTTTGTTCTAAACTTCTGGCATTTTGTGGTGTGTTAGGGGGAGGTTCTTTTCTGGTTGTGTCTATGTGTGGTTCTAGATGCCTCCTTTGCCTAGATATTTCTCTCATTTCCAAATTTTAGGAAATTTACCACTATACTCATTGAATAGATATTTTTAATACTTTGTCTTTTATTCAACACCTTCTTCTAGGTCATTTAAGTTCATTCATTGAGATTTATGTAGGAATCCTTGCATAGTTAGATCAGTGTTGTTCATTCCTCTTTTTTCCGTCCTTACTGTGTGTTCTAGCACTTCTTCCCTATTTTTGGCACCAGATATTTTATCTTCCAAGTGACCTAGTCTACGGTCTAAACTTTCAAGGGAGTTTTTTATTTAATTTATTGATGTTTTCAATTTCAGGATTTCTACTTGGTTCTTTTTCAGAACTTCTCTCTCTTTACTGAAGTAGTCTTTTAGACCCTGCATTATTTTCTTCAACTAATTCAATTGCTTTTTATGTCTTCTTTATACTTATTGGTCAATTCAGTTATTAATACATTCATCTGCTTATCTGTCTCTTTATTGATCTTATTAGCCATTTGAATTATCAGTTTTTAAACTCTTGGCTGGGAATTTCATCTACTTTATAATCTGTGTGGTTAGATTTTGTGCAAGCATCTTGTTGCCTTGTTTTCTCATTTAGTTCTGTCTCTTTGTTGACGTTTGGAATTTAACTTGGAAAAGTATCTGTTCTGAAGTTTTGTCTGGCATGTGACTGTAAGTGGTTATCTCTTCCTGATATGTCCTGGATTGCAGATATGACTCCTCAGGAAAGTTTCTACTCATGTTTTGCTAGATGCTCCTAGCACTGCTGCACAGAATCAGAATATTTTTGTAACTTCTAAAATAGAATATGGAGATTCTTCATTAAAAAAGGCCCTCTCTAGTGATCCAAAAAGTTGTATTATGCTCCTGACAGTGTAATGAGACCCAGATTCCTAGTCCCCCTATGTACCTAAAAGTCCAACTGGGCAGTAAAATTTTCACTTTCCAGTAGTTTTAAAAGAATCTTTTTCAAACTATGAGAAGCATTCAATGGACTCCCCACACTGCACAGTGTTAACTTGTCATAGAACTTAACTTTCAACCCAGAGAGGAGTAAATCCAACAAAAAACATTGATGTTGTAGTTAACAACCAGAATTTCTCTAATGCTAACATGAAACCCAAGCAGATAATCTGGCATTTTTATGAAAGAAACTATCAATCATAATTATTCTGTTTTTTGAATTTCTAGTTTATTAAGGTTTTATAATGTCACAAGAACTGTCCTTTAGAAAGCTAATCAGTTAAGATATGTCAACTAAGTTATAGTAACTACACTAGAATAGAAACAAAAAAAAGTTAAATATGAGTATTGAGGAAAGTTGTTAAACCCTTATAAACTTTATTTCAACATATGCTTTCCTGAAAGCTTCAGAATCCTATGTACAAAACCCTCAAAGCAACATTTACATAATGGCTAACTCTGAAGGAAGGAAGAATAGAAAAATTTTTCTCTCAGTGATGTACAGATCCTACTCACCATCATAAAAAACTACTTTTTTATGAGAAATGTTAGTATGGGAAACAGCACACTCTGACCTGCTGTTATG